AGGTGAAGGCCTTCCGGACCTGGCAGGAGTTGCCCTCTGGGAGCAGGAAATGAGACCTCAGGCCTGAGGAAGGTGGGGAGTTGAAAGGAGCCTCCTGCTACCAACTGGGAACCTCAAAGGGCTGCCCTTTCCTTGAAGGGAGACCAGCGCTCTGGGGGTTGGCTCTGCCATCTGTTTACCGCGGAAACCACGTCGCTTGGAGAAGTCAGGATCCTCCGCAGGCGTGAGGAGTGCGGGACAGGCATCCAGTCCAGTTTACCCTCCTGTGCAGTGCGGGACGCCAGTTTGAGAAACGGAAGAGATAAGTGCTCCAACCAGTAAAATATTAGGGTCCCAGCAGAGGCCTCCGTGGGACCCCTCCAGAGTGCACCCACATCCTGGGCATAGAGACCCCATAGGAATCCCCTGCTGCCAGGAGCTTAGAGTAAAACCTTTCAGGCCACACGAGGAAACGAATTCCCCGAGAGGAGGGGATTTGAGGCAGGACATAGTAAGACCAATACCCCAAGGATTAGAGAAATCAATAATGTAAAAAAGACGTAAAATAAGACTTTAAAACTGTGGCCATTCTGAGTCCTTGCTATAAGCCACACCCAAGTATAAGCACCTCCCTGTGTTATTGTCCTGACCGGGCCGGGAATCAGAGACGGTGACTGCCCACCTGTGGGGGTGAGGAAACGGAGGCACCCACCGGTTAACTGAGGTCGCGCAGGAAATGGGGGAGCCAGGCCTGGACAGCAGACTCATCACAGCACTTGTCTCCTGACCACTGTGACCGGGACCTGCTTTCCTTCCCGTGGAGACAGGATCCCAGCTGGGCGTGTGGCCGCACATCCCAGGGACGCCCGGGGACTGAGCAGGTGACTCGGGGCTGTACCAGGTGAGACGGAGTCCTCTCTGGAGCTAGTGCTTTTCCTTTTCCTGAAGGAAGAGCTGGGGTGAGAAAGCTGACCAGCGGGAAGACGCACACAGCCCAGCTGTGACAACGACCCGCACAGCTGGGACCCTCACATGGCCTCTTAGTCCTCCACACACTTCCCTAAAGTCCAGTCTCCTAAATGAGTGACCACATAACCCGGAGACATACCCAGCCCGGCTCCTGGCCCCTTTACCTCCAGCATGTTTGGGACAATGACATTCCAGCAGAGTCAGGGCGTCTGGTGTCCCTCGAGGGGAAGGGCCGAGGACTGGCCCTGCTCCACCAGTTGGGCCAAGTGTTTGAATGAGGATCCATTCATGTCCTCTCTGGGCCCTGATCCCACACATGGTCCTCATTTATCCTATTTCAATCTAATACTATGCCCATCCTACAGGTGAGGAAGTTGAGGCTCAGAGAGGTTGAAGCCGTATGGAAGGACACACAGCTAGTAAGTGGTAGAGCCGGAATTCACCGCATCGGCAGCTGGGCTCCGGTCTGCCCCCTCCAGGCCTGCCTCCCGCAGCTCCTGGGGCTCCCAGGGACCAGGTGCTGCCTTTAAGCTGAGTTTCCTGACGAACTGGGCTCGGCTGGGCCCAGGCTCCTTTGTTTCCAAAGCCACAGGAGGGGCTCAGGCACTCGGTGGTGCTGGGCTGCCAGGGTGGGGTCCCTGCACAGTGACGGTAACATCTGAGTGTGCAGCCAGCCCCGGCCCTGTCAGCGCTGGTCACCGAGGGGGCTTTGTTGGCGAAAACAGGACCCCAGGTCGCAGGTGGGAAGGGCCAGGAACGGCCAAAGGGGTGAACTGAATCTCCTGGGCACCCAGAACCAGCAGATAGAGGCGCTGTGGCTGCAGACCGGCTCCCCAGCCCCCGAGCTGCCCCTGGGAACGCTGTACTTCACGCCAGCGTGCTTTGGCCTCTGCTTTGGCCTCTGCTTTGGTGGCATTTACTAACTCTGTGGAAGCAGCCATTGCTCACTGCCCTGATGCTCAACTGGAAACCAGACCAGTTGTTGAACCCAGACCTACCCACACAGGGGGAAGTCTCCGACGTCCCCACAGCCTACAAGATACCGGACCACCTCCCCTGCTTGGGAGCCGGGAGAAGCCAGGTTCCTCGGGGTGGAGCTGAGCCCCAGGTAGAAATCTCTCTGTTACACATACATCAGGGTCCCCGGTCCCTCGTGATAGACAGCTACCTGGTTTACCAGTTTTTATTGCTGTTGTATCCAGTGATCCCCAACTTAGCAGCTTAAAACACTGGGATACGTGGTGATGGAAGGAGACTGGACTTGCGATATACGATACGCAGATGATGTGTTAGAATTGTACACCTAAAACTTATAATGTTATTAACCCAGGTCACCCCAATACATTCAACAAAAAGGAATACACACCCATTTATCATCTCCCAGCACAGGCAGGCGTGGGGGCTCAGGCAGGTCTCCGCTCCTGGGCTCAGGAGGTGGAAATCGAGGTGGAGGCCTGGCTGGGCTCCCACCTGGGGGCTCAGCAGGAGCTGCTTCCAGGCCCACTCAGGTGTCGGAGGACCGGTTCCTGCGGCGGGAGGACTAGCTCCCGGGGCCTCGCTGGGTGATCAGGTTGTTTCACTCCCAGAGACGCGTGGTCGCTGTTCACTGCAGCCTTATTCGTAGTAGCCGAGGGAGAAGGACCTACGACGAACAGATAAAGAAGAGGCACATGTGTACATGTACAGTGAAACATCACTCAGCCCGAGACAAAGGCAGCCCTGCCTTTTGTGACAACGTGGATGGCCCTGGAGGACGTATGGTGGGCGAGATGAGCCAGAGGAGGACAGCCGTGCAGTTAGACCTCACATCGACTTTGTGCGAAAATGAACGTTTCCAGTCATGACCTTCTGCCCTTTCGTATTATGACAGCGCTTGTGCGGACACGCATCCCCTCGTGTTCACGGGCACCCACGGAGCGCTTACTATGTGCCCAGCACAGGGAGTCAGAAATCCCGCTCCCACAAAGCATGCATCCCAGGACCGGGAGGATGGTTCGGAGCGAAGGAAACGGGCTGACAGAGGCTCCGGGGCTTGCCCTGGATCCAGCGCAGACCTCCATCCTGCCGGGGAGGCCTTCTCGCCCCGCACAGTGGCTGCCCCCACAGAGCATCGTGGGCTGATGCTGCCCGTGACCAGATTCGGCGGGTGCTAACCTCGAAGCTCTTTAAGTTAGAGGGTGGGCATTTTGACCTCGTTTGTGTGTCGGCGAGTCTTTGGGGAACCCATCCCTGACCATCCATTCAGTGGTCTCTCACCCAGCTTCTCTGTAACCTGTGACTGGCTTCCCCCGGGAAAGGAGAAGAACGGAAGGTGAAATATGCTGATTTTATGACTTGCTATTAGCTCCAGCCCAGTGACGGAGGATGGCATAGTTGGAAAGGGGGAGCCAGAATGGAGCGCTCAGGCCAGAGTTTGAGTTGGTCCTGGTGTTGCCCCTTGGTCTGCAAGCAAGTCTAAGCCTCAGTTCCTCATCTACTAAGTAACAACTGCCTTATGTTTGCTTCATGGTTCAATTAATGCTTATGGAACACCCTCGCGCCCACTAGCTAAAAGGAGGCCTCTAAGAGAACTACCAGGATGCCTTCTGCTGAGCATTTGTGGGGAACAGAGAACTGTGCTCTGCAAACCGTTGGACCTTGTATGGGAGTAACTTCTGCCCTGAAAGTCAGCCGGGGCATCTCACACCCTCCACTTTGGCTTCTAAATTCTGAGGCCTTTGCTCAGTTTCCTCATGTCTTTAGTTTAGATACTGCCCAGCTGACCGCCCCCTTCTGTCGGCCCAGGAACGGCTCTGATCCATTTGGTTGCCAAGCTCTAGTTCCTTTAGCTGGCGTCCTTCTGCAGGGCGTGCCACCTTGCCCGGGAGGCCCATCTGGACCCAGCCCTCAGGGATGCCTTTCTCCATTAATTCCATGGCTCACCTCATTTGGGCTTGCTTCATCTTTTTTTTATTAATCTTTTCCCCCCATCCACCCTCTCTCACCACCCTATTGTCTGTGCCCATGCATATGCATACAGGGTCTTTGGTTGATTACCTCCCACCCACCCTCCCTTCCCCACCTTCCCTCTGAGATTCCGCACTCTGTTCCATGCTTCCATGTCTTTGGATCCACTCTGTTCATCAGTTTGTTAGATTCCACATATGAGTGAGATCATGTGATCTTTCTTTGACTAACTTATTTCACTTATGATACTCTCCAGGTCCCTCCATGCTGTCTCAAAGGGTAAGAGATTCTTCTTTTTTACTGCTGCATAGTATTCCATGGTATAAATGTACCACAGCTTTCTTATCCACTCATCTACTGATGGGCACTTGGGCTGTTTCCATATCTTAGCTATTGTAAATTGTGCTGCTATGAACATAGGGGTGCATAAATTCTTTCTGATTAGTGTTTTGAGTTTCTTAGGATATATTCCTACAAGTGGGATTACTGGGTCAAATGGCAGTTCCATATTTAATTTTCTGAGGAAACTCCATACCATTTCCA